CCGAATTTTGTCTTTCTTTGCTTATAAAAGTTGACATGTTGGGCTGGGTGAGCTAGCTGCTGCAGCGCGCCGCGTTCCCTTGCGCCTTTCGGTCTGTCTGCCTTTCGGGTGGCGGGGCGGGGCGCGGCGGGTCCTTGCATTTCGCTGCCCGAACGCTGCCGATCAGGCGTCAAGGATTTCCGCCTCGCGACGCGGCCCGGCGTGGCGTGGCATGGCGTGGCATGGCGTGGCATGGCGTGGCCTGGCTTCCGCGGTTGGCCGAGTACGGCCGGCCGGCTGGCCGAACTGTTGGCCGCCCCCAAGGGGCCGGCTGGTCCTTGGAAAGTGCACCCGGCTGCCCGGGCCCCCCCCCAGCCCACATCGGGCCGCGGACCCCCACGCTGGCTCGGCCGGCCGCGGCGGCCACTGCGCCGCGAGCCGCAAGTCGCTGTACGGGCGCGGGTCGTGGCGCGGCGCGGCGCGGTTTAGGTCGCGGTGGTCACTGACCTGCCGCACCAACAGCCGCCGAGCCGCCGCACCACCAGCCGCACCGCGTGCACTGGTCGCGCGTATATGCGCGGTGCGTGTGTGTGCGTCGGGCTGCTTTGTGTGTGTGCGTGTGCGTCGTCATCACGCTAATGTCCACGCTACACCCCGCAGGTCGCGGCCAGCACACTGTCGATCGATAAAATGGCACTCGTCATCCCCGTTAGGCTGATCCGAACGAGCGGCTTTCTCGCCTGCCTCCTCGCACTCGCGGGGGCGTCCCGTTGGGGGTGCGGAGAGCCGGCGCCGCGCCGGGGAAACGAGAGACTTGGGCTTGGCCCCTGGCCCGGCACCGTTCTGCGCACGACGCCGTGGGGGCGGGCCGGGGCCCTGGGCCGGGCGAGGCGGAGGGCAAAGGAGAAAAAACTAATGGGCCCGGTTTCCCTTTGTCTTCTCGACCTTTTTCCTCCCTTTCAAGCGCGCGCAATCGTGCAGTCTGTTAACCGCTACCCACCCACGCCTGGGCCGGCGAACGGAGGCGCGAGGAGCGGCAGCCTTTGAAGCTTTCGCCCCTTGCCTCCGACTCGGGGCGCCCCGTCGGGCAGAGAGCAGCGCGACAAAGACTCTCGGAATGTGTCGTCGGCCCTCCACGCCCCCGCCTTGGCGAAGGGCCCGGGCAGCAGGGCGGCCCCGCCAGGGAAAGGGCGAAAGGGCGGGGGAAAGGGGGCCCCCAGCCGCTTTCGTCGCTCCGTCTCTCTCGCACCCTTACGGGACGCCTCGTGAGTGCGAGAGAGACGGAGAGGCACCCAGTGAAAGACGCGGCGCGCCAGAGCAGCCAGAGCGCGTGCCCCCATGATCCCATCCTAAACGGTCGGCCGGGGCCCTGGCCGCCAGCACCGCCAGGCCGAGGACGCGCCGCGGGCAACGCCGCCCCCCCCTCCACCGCGGGGCAGCGCAGTCAGGGACACTGAACCATGTTTTCCCACGCTGGCAGCTCGTTCCCTGTCTCTGTCGCGGTCATGAAGCGACATCAATAGAGAAAGAGCCTGGCGGCTTTCTGCGCCTGCCGACCGATTCTGAAGATCAGTTTTTCGCCCTGTCTCTCTCACGCCCTTGCAGGCGGAATGGCGCGATTTCCCCGGTCTTCCCTTGTGTGCCTCTCCCGGATCCCCCCCCGCCCCGCCCCCCCCCGCCCGCCCCGCCCCGCCCCGCCCCTCGCCAATTTCCCGCACGCTTCGCGCTTCGCCATTCCGGCCCGGGAGCGGCGCCGTGTTGTCGTGTTGGAGAGAAGAGGGTCGCGAACCTTAAAATATTCATCCGCGGTGCGGCCACGGCGCCAAGGCGTTGCGTTGCCGCGCTGCCGGTACATGGCGGGGCCGGCGTGCGGCTTTGGCGCGGTGCGGCGCGGCTTGGCGGAGCTTGGCGCAGCACTGTCCCCGTTCCGGCGTTCCGCTGCGTTTCGCGTTTCTCCCGCCGACAACGGATTATTAGCTTCATTATCGTGATGCCGCCACTTCCCGGCCGACGAGCTCCGCGGTGCTCCGCGGTGCTCCGCGTGCCGTGAGACGGCAGCCGCTTGAACCCAAAGGATCGCGTTTGCTTGCTCTGTCGCACCCCCACGGACCGCCACATGCGTGCGAGAGAGACAGAGAGACTCAGCTGGCCCGCCCACGCCGGGGCCCCCGTCATGGAAAGGCCCTAGCATTTCTCCTCTCATGCCCCCGCCGCCGCCACCCTCGGGCCACGGCGCGGGCCTCCAACACGCACCACTACTTAGGGAGCGCGGCGTGGGCGTCCGGCTTCAGGGACTTCTGGGCGGCAGGGGGGGTCGCGACCCGGACGTGGTGTGAGGACGAGCACGACCACGAGGGACACGGCGAGGCGCGGCGCGGCGGGCGAGGCGGGGGTGACGCAAGCACGGCGTCAATCAGCCAGGGGGTGTCACAACCGTGTGTTTCGTCTCGTCTGTTTACGCTATCGCCGCGCGTGCTCGCGGTGGCCGTCAAGGCCGCCAAGGCCACCGGCAGCCCTCCAGGCGGCTCGGCCGGCCCGGCCAGGCCGCGGCGGCGACAGGGCCTCCGGGCCGCCAGGCCGTCAGCTGTTTCCGGTCGACGGGCCGCCTATGCCGTTGCCGTTGGCCGCTAGACCCGGGCCCGCACGGCCTGCACGCCGGGGTGGCATGCGGATAATTCGACTTCGCTGAGGGGGGGGGGGGGGGTCGGCGAGCAGCTGACGAGCGTCGGCGTCCGACCGCCACCGCACAGGAGGATGCTCGCGCTGCGCGGCGCCGCGGTCCTTCCTTTATCCTGCCGCCGTTGTGCAACAGACAAACCAGCCTTTGTCCTGGGCGGGGGTGGCTGGGGGCGCCAACCCCCACGCCGCCACGCCGCGGCCACCGAGCCCCGCAGCACCAGCAGACTGATTTCCCAGAGTCCTTCTCGTCGCTCTGTCTCTCTCGCACCTACACGGGACGTCCCATGAGTGCGAGAGAGACACAGCGACGAGAACGACTCTCGGAATCAGTCTGCAGCAGCGAGGAGGCGGCGGAGAGCATCAATTACTCCATGCCGCCTCGTGCCTCTGCTGGCGGCCCGGCGGCCTGGCCTGGCGGCTCGGCGTCGCGGGCCGAGGAGGGTAGTGGGCCACAGCGTGCTACTCGGCCTGCTCGGCCAACTCGGCGCGGGGTCCTCTGTCGACGCTTACTGCGTCCCCCGCCGCGCCCCCCGCGCCCGCCGCGCCCGCCGCGTGGAGGCCGAGAAGTGCGAGGGAGGGGCGGCAGGCCGATGCTGATTCCGAGCAGCGCTTTCGCCGCTCTGTCTCTCTTGCACTCGATGGGCGTCCCGTCGGGGTGCGAGAGAGAAAGGGCTCGTTCTAAAACAATGTGCAGTGGCGTAGCCGGTCTGGTTTCGCGCAGCGCCTCGTCGGCGTCGCTGTCTCTTTCATCGCCCCCATGAGCGCGAGAGAGACCAAGCGACGAAAGCACTGCAGTTGCCCTTTGACGAAGACGACCTTCGCGGC